AGGCGCTTGGGGCTCTTTAGCTTAGAGAAACGATGGCTGAGGGGTAACATGATCGAGGTTTATAAGATTATGCCTGGGATAGAGCAGGGAGAGAAAGAAGCACTTTTCTCCCTTTCTCACAATACAAGAACTCGGGGGCACTCCATGAAATTGCTGAACAGTTGGGTTAGAGAACGGATAAAAGGAAGTACTTCTTCACCCAAAGAGTGATGAACACATGGAATTCACTGCCACAGGAGGTGGTGGTGGCTACAAACATGGACAGCTTCAAGAGGGAATTAGATAAACATCTGGAGCAGATGTCCATCAGTGGCTATTAGCCACAAGGTATAGGTAGGAACTCTCGGTCTGGGGCAAGTGATGTACTGTGTTCTTGGTGCTGGGGTGGGCAACAGTGGGAGGGCTTCTAGTGCCCTGGCCCCACTGCTGGACCTCCTGATGGCACCTGGTATTTTTGGCCACTGTGTGACAGTGCTGGACTGGATGGGCCATTGGCCTGATCCAACACTGGCTACTCTTATGTTCTCTAATGTAGTGCAGCACCCAATGGCTATCTCAGTGATTCTCATCCTTTTCAGTAGGGTCACCCGTACTGTGCAGATTTACTTGGTATGGTGACTCATCCAGGGCTGGCCCAGGGTTTTTTGGCACCCTAGACAACCTGTGGCCTTTGACACCCATCTAGTTCAATATTCCATTATTTACAGTGGCGAACCAGACGTTTTTGAGAAACCAACAAACATCGCACAAAGGGGGCAATTGCCCCCACTCTGAACCCCAAGCGAGTGGCCATCCAGCTTACACAGTTTTCACGTAGAGGTTACATTCCAGGCTTTGACCACCCTCTCCTTCTCCATTACTCCCTCCTTTAGCGACCATCGGGACACACTGTACTTGATCAACATGTACATGCAGTGAAGGAAAAAAATGGAAGACAGTGTCTCCAGGGTCAGATCTTGGTTTCCAAGATACACAAGAAAGCAATGGAAAGGCCATTAGGGAGGGCGGGCCTGCAACCCTTTTTTAGGGGCTTTGCAACCCACTTTTGGGTCCCAACCCACAGGTTGGGAAGCACAGGGGTGTCTGACTACGGCAGGCTCAGTTCTTCCAGGGGGCTCAATCCCACTGGTAATGCCACACAGAGAAGGAAGGAGAAGAGTTGGTTTTTATACCCTGCTCTTCAGTACCCGAAGGAAATATCAAAGCGGCTTACGATCGCCTTCCCTGCCTTGCCCACAACAGACACTCTGTGCGGTAGGTGGGGACACCTTGTGAGGTAGGTGGGGCTGAGAGAGCTCTGAGCGAACTGTGACTGACCCAAGGTCACCCAGCTGGCTCCATGTGGAGGAGGAGCGGGGTATCAAACTCGGTTCTCCAGATTAGAGTCTGCCGCTCCGGCCCCAGCTTATTTTGCACCCTAGGCAAGGATCCCTTCTGGCGCCCCCCCCCCCCCCCTGCATTTTAGGAAGAATGAAAAACATAAATAATCAAGAAACTCCCAGTGTATGGGGCCGGGTTCAATTTGGCGCCCCTAAGGGCCGTCCTGCTCTAGGCGACCGCCTAGTTCGCCTAGTGAGTGAGCCGGCCCTGGCCGCTCTTAACCACCACACCACGCTGGCGGAAAGAAAGAAAAGACAGGCCAGTATTACAGCTGCTGCACCGTGGCAGAACCACCCAGGGCTGCAGGACCTCAGCAGTTGCCCAGTGCCGGTGCCTGCTTGCCTGCCTGCCTGATCGCTGTGTTGAGCACTTAGGTTTCACCAGGGCTTTTTTTGTAGAAAAAGCCCAACAGGAACTCATTAGCATAATAGGCCACACCCAACAGCAGAAACCCATTAGCATATTAAGCCACACCATGACAGCACAACTCATTAGCATATTAGGCCACACCCCCATGTTACCAGAAGTGTGGTCATCCAGCCACACCCACCTTTTGCTTCTTATTCTGTTTACCTTGTTTGTTGTCAAAACCCAGGGCTTTTTTTGGAGCAGGAACTCCTTTGCATGTTAGGCCACACACCCCTAATGTAGCCAATCCTCATGAGTTTCTGCTGTTGGGTGTGGCCTATTATGCTAATGAGTTCCTGCTGGGCGTGGCCAATTCGGGAGCCAGCCGGAACTCTGTTCCTGTGCGTTCCTGCCCCAAAATAGCCCTGGGTTTCACCAAGCTTGGATCTCATGAAGAATTACTGGAAGGGAAAAGAAATTGGAAATTTCATCTTCGGTCAAATTTCCCCTCCAGGATTCGGTGTGGTCTCGGCAATTTCAGTGGGTGTCCCCCCCCCAGTGCCTACATGTATACATCCTCCCCCCCTTTAATCATTTATCAAATGCTGTCAGCATTCAATGCATCCTGGAGCACGCTCGGGTTTTATCAGGTCAGTTTGTGGGGGTTTCCTATTTGTTGGGTTAACTCACGAAACGCTCAATTTCCACCTACCAGGGGAATCTTCAAGTCTTTAGAGACCCTAGCCTTGTCTGATGGTCAGCCACATTGTGCTGCTTTTGTGATCAGTGTGGCGGGCAGCTCTTCTGCTGTTAGATGGAGTGAAGGATGCCAACTGTGGCTTTTGTTCGCCCTGCAGGAGTAAACGGCACAAGTCGGGTTCCATGGAGGATGACCTGGACACGAGTCCAGGTGGTGAATATTACACTTCTCCCAGCTCACCCACAAGTAGCAGCCGCAACTGGACAGAAGACATGGAAGGGGGTAAGTGTGCGAGGAATCTGCCTCCTACTGTCTTTGTGGGAGAGATCGTCTGACTGCATTGAGAAGGGTAGGCTCCAGGTTTTAAACAGCTTTAAAAGGGGATTAGATAGATTCACGGAGGATAAGTCTATCAGTAGCTACTAGCCACGGCGACTGAGGGGGAACCTCCACATTTAGGGGCACTAAGCCTCTGAATCCCCGAGCCAGGAGGCAACCTCAGGGGAAGGCCTGGGCCTTTATGCCCTGTTGTTGGCCCTCCAGGGGAACTGGCTGGCCACTGTGTGAGACAAGATACTCGACTAGGTGAACTGTTGGTCTGATCCAGCAGGGTTCTTTTTATAGTCTTATCAGGGGAAGGCCTGGGCCTCTATGCCCTGTTGCCGGCCCTCCAGAGGAACTGGTTGGCCCCTGTGTGAGACAGGATGCTGGACTAGACGGACCACTGGTCTGATCCAGCAGGGCTCTTCTGATGTTTTTATCAGGGAAGGCCTCGGCCTCTATGCCCTGGTGTGGGCTCTGCAGGGGAATTGGTTGGCCACTGTGTGAGACAGGATGCTGGACTAGAGGGACCACTGGTCTGACCCAGCAGGGCTCTTCTGATGTTTTTATCAGGGAAGGCCTCGGCCTCTCTGCCCTGTTGCCGGCCCTCCAGAGGAACTGGCTGGCCCCTGTGTGAGACAGGATGCTGGACTAGACGGACCACTGGTCTGATCCAGCAGGGCTCTTTGTATGTTCTTATGGGACCCTCAGGGTGCCCTCACATCAGCCCCTCACCCGCCTCTCTCCCCAGCTTAGCAACCGCCCCCCCCCAATTGTCAGCTGCTACCACTTGAAGGAAGACCAGTGAGGATGGGTGGCTTGATGCTAGTGCTGCCAGGTGTAGAATGGCTACTCACCTACCCTGCGATCCCCTTTAGGGTGGTGGCAGCTGCCAGCCCCTTTAAGGTTGTCCTGTCCTGCAAATGTCCAGAGGGAGAGAGGCTGGCTGAGATGAGCTAAATGGCTCCCAGCTGCTGTAGCAGCTCGTACATGCAGGCAGGCAGGCAGGCAGAGAGGTGGCAGAAAGTGACCATAGGTTTGCCTTCCCCTCCAAGTGAGGAGGAGCTCTGGATGCAGCCAGATATGAAGGTCCAGAGAAGAGAAGGTTTATGGAGGGAGGAATCCTAGTCTCAGTTCAGCCCCTGCTCTGCAGAGAAAGGGAGCAAACAGCTGTGGCTGGTCAGAAGAAGAAGAAGAAGAGATTGGATTTATACCCTGCCCTTCACTACCCGAAGGAGTATCAGAGCAGCTTTCAGTCTCCTTTCCCTTCAGTTGGGGGCTTTGGTTGTTCCGGAATGGAAGAGGAGATGTTTCTCTAAGCACCACTCCTGGAGTGTGTTCCATGTTCATGGACAGGCTACCTCTCGATGTTGGGAATGAATATCGGGGTATAAGTGATTCATGGAGGGAGAAGCTACTAGGGGCTGTGGCTTGATGGTGGAACATCTGTTTGGCATGCATAAGTTCCCAGGTTCAGTCCCTGGTGTCTCCAGTAAAAAGGATCAGGTAGATAATAGTCGATTTGAAAGACCTCTGCTTGAGACCCTGGAGAGCCGCTGCCATTCTGAGTAGACTATGGCCCCGGTCACACGGGCCGGATATCGCGGGGGGGAGGCGTGGCTATTTTCCCTGGGGCAAAATAACGCGCGGTTGCGCGATCAGACGTCCCGTGGAGGTCCCGTGGGTAGGGGGGAGGTGCCGATCACAGGACAATCCTGCGGCGCGGCAAAGAAGCGGTGCGGTGCGGCAAACGGGTTTGTTTTTTTCTGTACACCAAAGTATGCGCATGCTCCGTTGGGTGCTTGTGCGCATCCATGGAGACGGGATAAAAAAACCTTTTTGCAAGGGGACATGGGCGGGCGCCGGATGCCACCGGAAACGCGATCAGACGCCCGCCCTTGCCCCGCGGTTACCGGAAACAAGTACCTCGGAGATACTAGTGTTTTACCCTGCATCTTCGGCGGGAAGCCTCGGGTGAGCCACAGGAGCTCTACGCTTCCCAGATGTAGCGGTGAGATCGCACCCGGAAAATCCACCTATCTTCCGTCTCTCTAGCATGGCTAATGTTCCGTGTGACCGCAGCCTATACTGACCTTGATGGACCGATAGTCTGATTCAGTATAATGCAGCTTCACTTATCATGTGTCGTGTGTCAGCATCTGATTATTTGGCGTAGCAAAACAGTCCTTGTATTTCTGACGAGGGTGAGCCTACCTCTGCTGGTTAGCCAAGATAACTAAATGGAACCTCCATGTTCAGGAGCAGTCTTCCTCCGATTTTCATATGCCAGTGATAAGCAACAGGGTGTAAAAGGAGCATCTGCCTGGACAGTTTGGGAAAGAAGAGAGTGGAATCGGATAGATCTTTGTCCTGTTTCTACATTTGGCCCTTCTTGTACATGATGGAGTCATTCGCTGCTGTTTTACCAATGGAAAACCAGGGGAAGGAAATTCGTCAGCTGATCCTCGACCCATTTATTTGGAAGTAAGCCCTGTTGAATTTGAATGGGGCTTACTCTCAGGCAGGAGCTGCGGTGGCTCAAGTGGTTAAGACGCTGAACTGCAGGCTGTGGAAGGTCGGTAGTTCATCAGTTCGAGACCCGGGTGCCGCATGATGGAGTGAGCTCCCGTCTCTAGTTCCAGCTCCTGCCAACCTAGCAGTTCGAAAGCAAGAAATTGCAAGTAGATAAATAGGTACCACTTCGGTGGGAAGGAAACAGCGTTCCGTGCGCCTGGGTGTTTAGTCATGCCAGCCACATAACCACGGAAACGTCTTCGGACAGCGCTGGCTCTTCGGCTTGGAAACGGAGATGAGCACCGCAGCCCTAGAGTCGGACTCGACTGGCTTTCGAGCAAGGGAACCTTTACCTTTACTTTACTCTCAGGCAAGTTTGCACAGGATTGCAGTCTGTCTTTATTGTAAGAGTTCGATAATTTCCCCAGCTGAAGATAATGGAAACGTTTGGGGAATAATCCATTAAATGATTATTAAGTGACTATTACCCCTAATTGGTTTTGCCGGTTGCATTTTCCCTTGCTGTCCCCTCCCCCTTCTCTTCCTCACATCTTGCTTTGGCTACGAATTCACAAAGTGGCCGTGAACAAGCTGCCTTCTCTGCCGTAGCCTGCACCCTTGTCTGCAATGGCGTTAATTACCGGAATACCTAATAGTCAAGTGGTTAGCCCCCTGTGCTAGTCACAAAAGGCAGTGAAAGCAGGCTACCCACAGACGAGATCGGAGTTTCTACATACGGTAGAAATGGTGGCTGGCATCTCAGTGGGAGATGTGTCGACAGCATGATGTCATTTCCTGGAAGTGATGAACCTGGAAGTGATGACACATTGCTCTGGGATTCAGCAGAAACTGTGACCGTAAAGATTGTTTCAGAGGGTAGCCATGTTGGTTCCCAGCAGACCAGTCAGGTTCTAGTCCAGTAGCACCTTACAGGGGTCATTTCGTAGAAAAAGAGGTGCAGGAGCTCATTAGCATGACTCATTAGCATAACTCATTTGCATATGCCACACCCCCTGACATCACCAGACGTGTGTCAGAAGGCAACACCCACCGCTCAGCAATGTTCCCTCTAAGGTGTGGAGTCCTGTGAGCAGAAATTCCATTTTGTGAGCTACTGGCATTAGAATTGTGAGTAAGTTATTTGGCTACTGCATAAATTAGTTTGCTTTGGAGCCATTCTTCTTGAGCTAAGACAAAAATGTGTGAGCCAGAAGCTAAAAAACTGTGAGACAGCTCACACTAACTCAGCTTAGAGGGAACACTGCCGCTCAGGCTCCACGGGACTGTTTTGGATTGCTAGCTATTGGGGGGGGGGGAACATGCAGATCTGTCCTCGCAAAGGAGGGAGAGCTTGTACCTGAAGGTGGGCCGAGGGGGGGGACTCTGCAACTTACCTGGCTGCTTCTTGCTCCTCGTGGCCCGACTGAGGGCTGCTGGGAGCAGGGGGCGGGGCTTGTTGCATGTGCCCGCCCCCTGAGCTCCTTACTGCCGGAGCTCCGCTCCTGTGCGCTCCTGCACGAAATGACCCCTGGAGACCGACAAGATTTTCAGGGTATAAGCTTCCGAGAGTCTGATGAAAGGACCGTTGACTCTCGGAAGCTTACACTCTGAAAATCGTGTTGGTCTCTAAGGTGCTACTGAACTTGAGTCTTGACTATTCTAACCATAGAGTTTCTGCTGAATCCTAGAGCGGCGTGACATCACTTCTGGTGTGCCCCGGAAATGATGTCACACTATTGACATGACTGCATTCCCCCCCCCCCCATTTTTGCCCCACCGGCCCGCTGGGCGGGGGGGGGGGGGCATCTCAGACCTGGCAACCCTACTCCCCAGGTATACTAAACAACGCTCATTAACCTTGAGCATGTTTTGTATTAACCCCCCCCTAACCCGAGGAGGCCTGAGCCGGCTCCAGGAGGTGTGGAATGTCGAGAGCCGTTGAGTATCAGTGAAGGCAGGAGAAAGTGATGGGGAGTTCGGCCTGCGCAAGTCCCACAAACCTTTAGGATATGGAGGGGGGGTTCCTTGTTTTGTCACCTGGCCAGGAGTTCCTCACAGACCCCCCCCCGCCCCATTCACTCAAATAGCAAACTGGCTGATAGAG